TGGTTGTTTACTTGCCACAGCGGCCGATACATAGACAAACACTACCAGGTGCAGACAGATTTTGGCTGGTGGTTCATTTTGTGCCCAGATACCAGCACACATAACTCTAATGTGAGACAGCTGTGCTGCCTCTCTTCAGTCCTGAAAGCTCAGTTTAATGGTTCCGTAATGAATTTAAATGGATGTGGCGTGTACCTGCTTGATTCTGCTGCAGTTACAGGTGTGCAAAAATATGCAAATGACAAACACGCTCCCACAACAACACGTTTCAAACACTGTGTGTTTATCTAAAAAGAGACTTTTAACAGACTGTAATTTTCTGGCATCCTGAATCTGTGAAAGATATCATGACATGATAGCGGGCTGAGCAGCGACCATGGAGGGTCTTTGTTGTTGCTTTATTGATGTGTAATTAACATGTTTAACAAGACAAGTGATATATGGATTCTTTCCCCCCCTTCCACTTACCTAACAGTAAACATGTAAAACTACCCTGATTCAAAACAGTATAGTCAAACTGAAGTAAACATTAATTCAAAAACTCAATATATATAGTAAATCCTTGGTGTTTGTTTGTTGTTGTTTTAATCTGGGTTCTTATTTGGTCAAAACTGTCATTACCAAAAAGAAGAAATTTAGATTTCATTTTAATTTTTCTGCCATGATACTATCCCCTAACTTTAGTCTTCTCCAGGGGACTCTGATTCAATATGGGCATGCACCAAATTATAGTTTGGAATACAACTTCAAATCCAAAGCCTAAACAGTCAGTTATTATGCTGGGAGTCTGATGTTGTTAGCCCCATCTACTCAGCAGGTGTTCAAATAAAATGATTAAAAAGTAGCATCTAGTGCTGTAGTAAAGTTAGCATGCCTGGTCAACTAACTTCCATTTTCTGAGTGGAACAGAAACTTTACAGCACTATGGGTCCTCCCAGATGTTGAATCACTTAAAACACTAATGGTACTTCCTGCTACCAACCTTATATGGGGTTGTTAAAGAAATGTGTCTGTTTGTAGGCTATACAGGGCTATGACATATTCCAGTCAGAAGCACACTACAGAAGTTGTCTTCTGGCAACATGGGCTATAAAATGCCAGTCAACTGCTGCCATGGGAAATGCACAAGCTTAGTTTTCACAAATATGTCCAAAAAAAAAAAAGAAAAGAAAGTTTATCCTCTTTTGAAAAAGACAATAGGTGCAGTATCATTATACTTTACAAAAAGTGAGGAGAATTCAAATTTCAGTTAGACTGACTTTGTGACTACTTGCAAAAGATGCAGAGAGCACAGGAGACAAAAAAGGACCTTGACTGTTCAACAATCGGACTACTTACATAGTGCTTGTGCTTGAAAATAATCCTCAAAAAATCAAGGTAAGATCTTTGTTCTGCTGCAGTATAGGAAGTGAAGACAGAAAAACAGCAAGACAACATGGAGTGTTTTGGATGTTGCTTTGCCTGTGTGAATACGATGTGAAGACCCTTAGGGAAACTGACAAGCACACCAACTACCCAGCTTTCAGCCTTTTAATTATGTATCTGTGTGTTGGTTGATGCAGCTGAGGATTCTGAAATTTCTTCTGCTTGTAGTATAGTGTCAACGTTTTCTCTTTCTAAAAGTTAATATGTTCTTCCCCAGAATGCACTGCAAAGACACGGTCAGCTACAGACACCTACAAATAATGTGTGGACAAGGGTACAGTAGTCACATGACTGGACATGATTAACTTGAGTAGCTCAATGGATAAACTAGAACTGTAGTGAAATGAAAAAAAAAAAGGCCCTTCGATTTCTACATTCATTAATTATATTCCTCTCACCAAACTCCCCCCGTCCTTCTAACTGTATCATGCAACCCCTGTGTGCAGTGCTCAGGGGACACTACAGCAGGTCAAGAGTGGAGTTGTACGAGCTTTAATTAAACCAGCTGCTTTGCTGTAATCAACTGAGCAAGTTAAGGCAACAAGGTGGACTAGCAGCTAATTAATGTGTGCAGGATTAAGACCACAACACACATACACACAGTAACAACCAAGTAGATCAATAGATATCTAAAGTGGTATGGTGTATGTGCACAGAGACACATGCAGAGACACACACTGACAAAAACAAACAAACACGGGTGCACACACACACACACTGTATTTTTATGACTCAAACATGTAGAGAAAGAAAGACTCGCACACATACAGAGAAACAAACATAAAACATCCGTCACCACCTGCCCAGTCATGCAGCTCGCCAGCTAACCATCTATCTGTTAATGTACTCATCCATCCATCAATCAGTCCGCCATCCCTCCATATTCCATCCATTTATTTTCCCCTGCTTTTGGCCCAAAGTCTGTGCACTTACAAGTACATCAGTCTGACTGCCAAGCCACATATCCATCCATTAATGAGCCCCTCCATTTATCCATCCATCCATGAGTGCTCTCCATTTGTTTTGTCGACAAGTAAAACAAAAAAAACTGAGATTTCATCTCGCTAGGCCACAGTGGTTGTTAAAAAAACAACAACACTATATTGCTTTAAGAGTGGTACCATCATCTGTTTTGTTTTCTCCTCTGTATTTCCTATTTATTTGTGAGTGTTGTGAAATTGAATGGACTTAATATGGCACTCTCTTACGTAGCAGCTCATTCCACTGGACAAATGAAAACACCACCATATATTCAATTTTAAACAGATTTCATCTTTTCATTTCCTTTTTCTGAACTAAAGAGTAAACCCGAGCACAGCGTTCAGTTTAAAGAAAATACCTCTAAGGCAAGCGTGCACACAAAAAGGAATATTTTAATATCCACAATGTTTTAATATTCTGTTGGAATGTTAAGATAACAAACCACAAACCTCTACATATCTGTCATCATGCATCTTAGTTGCTGTTAAACGCCTCCTCAGGTTCAAAACTCTCCCTACTGAAATGTTGAAAAATAAACAAAAAGGAATATTTAATATTCCCTTACGAATGCTAAGATATGCTATGATAAGATGAAATATCCCAAGTATTGTTAGAGGAAGAGTGCAAACATACAGAGTGCACGTATGAAAGAAAATGTAGATTATTCTGAATAAATGTTTGGAAGATGAATCGAAGAACTGACATCAGTGGACTCAATCATGTAAGCAAACCCCGGCGTTTAAAGACCCTACTGTATTCAGAATTCTACTCATTTAACACATACATTTACACTGTGGTATAAAAGGATCTAGGTTTAAAACGCTCTCTTAATACAATCTTCACATGCCCATCTGTACATTGAAAAAGTTGTTTGTTGATTTTATTGTTCCTCCTGTCCTTACTGGCCATCAAGAGATTCCCTCTCAACACAGTTCCAAAGAGATGGGGGACAAAATCCACAGTCCTCATGTGAAAGATTTCAGACCACCTAATATGAGGCAAGTGGATATCTTGATCTGCAACTTGTGATTATTTCATATTTCAATTTACATTGATATAAAAGAAAAAAATCTGTTAATCGTGTAAAACACTGGAGGAGCTCCAACCAGAGAATATTTGACATTGTTGCTTAGAAAAAACAAATCGATTAATTGACTAATTATATCAGCTTTACTTCCAATGTTAACATTCTTTTTAGCACAGACATTCCTCTTGTGTTTTTATATAAAGAGTTTTCTTGCTGTAACCAACTTGAAGTATCTAACTAGACTGCTAAAGCCCAGATAAACTTTAAAGCGCATTTTTACACAGAACCAGCTGCTAATTTACACTTATATTCAAAATATGTTGGGAAGGAACCTCTTCAGACAGGAGAAACAATAACAGCAACCAAAAACTCTTCAAATGTGCATATTGTTTCAAGACAAAAGTGAACCTATCCGTCTGCAAACATAATAATTGCACTGGTTTACAGATGTTTGGTAAGGTTGTACTTGCCTCTAGCCCAACCATTGCCTGTCAGTGTTATTTCGTCATTGTGACCTCAATTAAACTGGTTGTTTGTCTATCATCATGTTCAGTTGAGTAAAGTACTAAAGTACTGTAGCTGTAGCTAACCAACACGTGGCGTCTCACCAGCTTTAGTTATATATTTGCAGAAAATGTAAAACTTTAAGCAAAAAATGACGGGTTTCAGAGAAAGAACAGAGACGTGTCAATGTACATCTAAGTTCACTCGGTGAGCTGTTGATTTCCCTGGGCATGCTGCCAAAATGTAATCAATATACCGGGAATACTGTGTTCCCCCTCTTCCATCTTCTTCTACTCGCTTCAATTTGTTCTCATTAAAGAAGATCCATTCTACTCCTTTCTCCTTCACTTAGTGTTGATTTCTCCTGTTTCTCCTTATAGCACTTCTAGTACATGATCATCTGAAACTCACAAGACAATTTTGACACTTCTCCTAGTTGGCTGCTTGTAAATCACTGTTGCAGGTGAATTCTTTAAAGCGTCATTATTTAACTTTTCTACCTTAAAATAAGTTAAAAAATAAATCATTCTGATGCAACACTGACTTGTAATAGGATGAATGGTGCCTCTGTCATCCCCACTCCACCTGTTTCTGCACTAGGTAACTTTTGGTTACCAAGTGCATAACACTTTACGGCAGTAGTCACACACCACCAACTATATTCCTGATTTTGGTGAAACTGGTTTTCCCTCTGATGGCTGCTCTGCCTCAACTCTCAGTGATTAAAAGAGTTTTTTCATGGACAGTAAACTGCTGCTACATGTAGCTGCCGTTAACCAGCTTGCTCAGTTAGTTAGTCGTGCTGCCCGGACTGAGAGCGACCCAAATTTTACATAACGTTGCTTTAAATTAAATGTTAAAAACAAATAAATAAAAATAAACTGAAATTACTTTTTTTTTTCTTTAAAATATTTGAAAAGGTCCTTGTAACCACAAAAGCACATAAAAGTACTTATTAGTATGCATTTGTATCAACCCCTTTAATGTCTAAGCAACTGCTAATAAAAATATTTTGATGCCAACCCTACTGTTTTCTGCTCTCTGAACCAAAAGATGTACTTACGTTGGCCCCAGCGGCCCGTACGGGGATTCAGGTAGTTTGGGTAGAGCCCGTTGGGTCTGTCCATTTTGGCTAGCAGCTTCCGGATGTGCATCACCTGTGATCAACACAACACACAGTGGAAGTTCTAATTCACGCCTAGATATTGCAAAGCAAAGAAAACATGCAGACAAGCTGCAATACTGCAAATGTAAGCACATCCAGTCCCAACGTACACATATAGACAATGTTACTTGTACCTTCTGGTAGTAGGCAGGGTTTCCTGTCAGGTAGGTGAGGTGAACAAACTCCATGTGGAGAGTCCCAAACTCAGCCAGGATGCTGCTGCCCGCCGACGCCCAACCCCAGTTACGACCAACACCGCTGGAAGAGGGGGAGGTGGGAGGGGTGGAGAGAGGTAAAGAGAAGAGAAAAAAAGTTCATAACCTGTAGTCTATGCATGCCTGAGGTAAAGAAGGCTAAGATGTAGTGAGCAAAGATGGATGATTTAATATTCCATAATTTATCCGTTATAATTTAATTATAGGAATAATACATAGTAATAAAAATTTCCCATAATTTATCGGCCCAATAATTATGGTGGATCCATGATTTTGAGAGGTGCAAGGCTAAAAATGTAAAAATAAATTAAAAAAAATCCCAAGTATATAAAATGTAGCATGATAAAATGTATGATGATCAAATGCGGTAATCTTGAACATACATTTTAGTCATCCATTATCTGGTAGACAATGTAGAAAATCTCTGTATATAATAAGGTTAGAACAAGGATTTACATGTCATAGTAAGATACTGTTGCAATTGGACTTCAACATCTTTTCAAAACCACCAAACCAGATAATATATTTTACAGTCTAGTGACACATGGCAGTGTTGGAGCTGGATTGATTACAGCCGGGGCAACAGGTCCGCTATGTGTTCAGGAGTTTAAAATGACATTTACACATGACACGTATTTGACACAGTAGGTTTCTTGAACAGCTTCAATTTTGCATGAGTGCATAATAGGTTGCAACTGGTAGGTGTGTGCCTGTGTGTGAAGAGGAAGCGTGTGTGAGAGGCACCTCGTTTGTCTAATCAAGTGGAAGAAGAGAGAGATGTGTCACTTGTGTGTGTTTTCTGTTTAGATGAAATTCCTGCGTGTACAATTATTCTTAGGGACATCTGCGTATGTATGGACATGCTCCACTGTGTGTTTGTCTAGTTGCAGACAAAACACAAATTGTCCGCGCTCTAACAAATTAGAATTACTTTAAGAAAAGGAGGCCCTCGCTTGTACAGCACACATCCTCAACAACCTGCTAACTGATGTAACAGGATGCTGATCACACACGCACACACACCAAGCCAGGGTGCTTAGCAACAAAGTAGCCTGCAGGTTGATACAGCAATTTTATTTAATTTCATTGTTTCATTCAATGAATAAGTAAATTGATAACACAAAGAGCAGTGGGGAATGGAGGGAGATAAAAGAGCACACACAGAGGCACAAAAAGACACACACACACTTCCCAACGCTCTTCACAGATACAAAAAAAAATAAAAAATGAGGATAGGGAAATGTTATGGTAATGTTACACTTCAGGCCAAGGCTACAACAGTAAAGTAGCGCACTGTTATAAGCTGCAGGCTAACAGGGCGACTACAGGTTTCTAAAAGTTCAATTTAACACTTCTTTTTGTTGCCTGCTCACATAGGTTCCAAAAAGTACCCTGAAGACTCAAAACCCTCCTCTCACACACGCACACAGGTATTTTCAGTTATTCCAGTTTGAAGTTCAAGTGCAGCAACATTGGTTATAAGACAATGTGTCCAAATTATGTAATAATAATAATAATAATAATAATAATAATAATAATAATAATAATAATAATTAGTAATAATGTCTGATGAAGGTGTT